TATTAAGCCGCAACTTGGGAAGAGGATTGCAAATTCCCATGAATGGTCGCTCTTTATAGATTTCGTAATCAGGGTGCACTCCGTGGAAAGCACAGTAGTTGACGTAGTAGACTTGACAACTAGTCGCCCGTCCTTCACTGGGCACAGGCTTGAGACAACTCTGAAATTGGACCTCAAACTTGCTGGAAGGAACATCGGTCTCAGGACACCTTTTACGTGAAGCAGTTGGAACAAGGAAGTCTCCCAAACAGAAATTGCTCAAACTCGTATGCCCCATGGAGCTCATTCATTTCTCAAACATGTTGCGTATCATGTGACCAGCTGCACCTTGGGAAGCACAATATTTGACTTAGTAGACTTGACAACTAGTCGCCCGTCCACAGCACAGGCTTGAGATAACTCTGAAATTGGACATCGAATTCATCTGGAAGGAGCATCGGTCTTAGGACACCTTTTACGTGCAGCAGTTGGAAAAAGGCTCCCAAACAGAAATTGCTCAAACTCGTATGCCCACATGGAGGTCATTCATTGCTCAAGCATTATGTGCATCTTCCCTCTTTTGTACGGCATTGGCATCTTTCATTTCGAGGAGAAGACGGTACATTCATTACCACCCTCCCACCAGTCACGTGTACCAAGGAGCGAGCGTGTCAATGTTGGATTACAGAAGTGACGCCGTGGTAGATTCAATGATTTTCATTTATCTGTGATTCTACTTCGTGATCCCCGGTTGGTGACTAACACAACCTTCCAATTTTCTTGTCAGAAGCTCTGATGGTGAACAATGGTCCTGTCTCTCCACATTCTCCACTCACTTACTGACTCATTCACATGAGATACTCCGCTGTTTTGCATGAAGAAGATAGACCTTACATCTATCGAGGAGACGAGATCTTGTGTAATGTCTGAGGATCCGATCTGCCCTGAGCCTTGGGAACTTGTGAAGATCATTACATCTGGGTCAAAAGGTCCGGCTCCCTGGCTAACGATACATAAGGTGAAAGGTCGAGTGATTAAGTACACATTGAGACAGACCTGCGCAAAAAGCTCACTCGGTGTTGCGATTATTAACTTTCAACCTGCAACCGGTCACTTGGTAAAATAGGACCAATACATATCTGAAGTCATAACCAAGCTTGCTTCGTCAGGACACATCGCTAGGTTTCATGAAGCATAACATTTGAGTGGATGCACCTGGTTTGGTGTAGGAAAAGAAAAACTAATTAATCTTAATAAAATTCTTCTCATTTTCGGTTAATGTTGTTTCCAGACGCTTGTTTAAGGTTATAAGATTAGGGATTATCGTACACAGCAGATGGTGAGAAAGATGAATATGTTCAAGAAGAACAACTGTGAAGACCTAGGCAAGTGGAGACGAAGGGCGAATTGAAGCATGGCAAGAAGAGCAATGAAGTTTACAGCAGTAAATGAAAGAACTGTCAAGAGAAGCAAAAGTGTGTTCTACGGATAGAGCGGAAATTGAATCTCTGCATCGAGATCTTAGCGGGAAGTTAAACTGACGGGGTGTGAGTTGGCAAAAAGAAACAATTATGCAGAAAGTCAAAATCAAGTCCGGTATGAGGAAGGAGGTGAAAGGAGGCCTTTGATATAAATGTCAGAAATGAAGAAAGATAGACTCGCTTACGATCATTTATATTTACAAATCTGATTTGATGGTCGTGTAATGAATTCAAATGGTTTGATCTTAAAGGATGGAATTTAGCAATGGAAACAAGACGGACTTGATGAAATAACATTACAACATAAATCATTACATGATACCAGCTATTATCACCTCAGTGTTTGTTAGTCTAAGTACGCATACATTGCGTATTATGGAAATGACTTTTGAAGATTATTTCAGATGAATGAGGGGGAGAGTTTTGCTCATGATGTGGAAGTGTTGATTGAAAGGTCGGGAGGACAACAGATATAAGAGAGAAATATATTCATCTTTGTTCCCACTTCGTATGTTCAAATATGGCTAGTCAATTCGTAAAGAGTTGAAGTATAAAAAAGGAATTGAAGTGATCGGATGAAGATGTGGAGGTTGAAGATGCATACAATAAGTCGGAAAGAATCCCTCAGATGAGGAGGAAGTAACTATGCCTACTTTCGGAGAGGAGATGTCCTTGGAAGTATAGAATTGCAAAACAAAAGATATTGAGGCGTAGGATCTTGATGCTGATTTATCAGTAGGATCTAGGCGAAAAGCACCGTAAAACCTAGTCTAAAGATTATATCTGGCTTAAGGAGCTGAATAATAAGATGGAAAACCAAAATCTGAAATGTCCAGTACTAACGATTAGGAAACCAAGAGAATAGCGACTGTGGAGCCCATTCCGTCAGTGTGCTAACTTGCTCAGAAGTTGGAGACCATCATAATGTCAGTTATGATGATTGTGGGTGATATGACTCCAGATAATATCTATGGGTAGGAAGAATGGTGACATGGAATTATTTCGGGTTGGAATTCTGTAGCAAGATCATTCAACAACCATTGCGCATCTGACAGAAAGTGTAATTAATCTCACCAATTCTATTTCTAAAAAGGAGGGTAGCAGGCAAGAGAGAAAATAAATTCATACACCAAGATCTATCTCAATTTGAATTCAAAAGCCCGAACAGAAAATTCCTACTCAAAGCAAGACCAAGATTAAGGTGGTTTAATATCTTTCCCTGTTGTAAAAGTGAACTTTAAAAAAAATAACGGCTGAATAGATAATTTTACTTACTCACTTGACTTGAAACAGGGTCTTACAATTTTTTTGGTTTCCACCATGTTTAAAGCAGTTCATGTAGTATTTTATGAACAGATTCAAAACCTGTATTGAATGTTATGTGAAACTTCATGCCTCAATACTAGTCATTTTTTAAGGTGGATAAGCTTATGAATGCTCTAAACCAAAGCCAAACCCATAACAGCGAGTTTTACATATCATGCAAGATATCCAAAACATGAGATTAAATTGAATATATACCATTTTCATACCTCTTAATGAAAAAAATCGTACAACAAATCAAGGTGCTTGTATACCATAAACTTGACGATCTGTTGATTGAGAGATCTTGGTTATAGCAAGATTAGTATTTATGAAAAGTAACGAATTGAACGAATATATGTTTTCTTGTGCACAGGATAGTGGATGGAAATCGCTAGGTATGAAGGTTATTAAGGACGAATTTTTCGACGTTAAGTAGAATGTAGAAAGTAAGATTCTAAGAGCAAATTATTGTAGGCAACAAACCTGTCGTAACAAAGTTCCTTTGCATGTTCTTACTTGTAGACAGCTATGTGAATTGGCATTCACAACAGAGTTCTCTCTCAGTACAGCGCAAGTTGGAATATGATAGTTATCTTCAGTGCCGAATAACACTCACTTTTCGTCGAAGTTAAATACAGACCGTTTTTGTTTTACTTTCACCTATGCACAGAAGATCTTCCACGTTCAACAATGTTATAAGGATATCGTGGAAATAACAATCGTTGCTAAATTTTCTCTGCATCACATAGTCTGGTCTCTGTTTATCATCATACGAGAACTCTCACGTTCAATGACAGTCAAAGGTTACGTAAAGATGTCCTCAATTCTTAAAAATCTTGATTGAAGCGCCTCCAACGTGACTCAAGGCGTCCACTGAAAGTTCTGGTCATCATTGTTAATGTACAGTTCATGGCGTACAGTGTGGGCATACTATGAGGTCGGGGGTCTAGACTTGTACAGATTTTGACGTCACTGATATCCTCTGCATGTGAGACTTGTGTCCTGGGGAAAGTAGAGCATAGCAGTACACGATGTCGCTGTGGCAGTTTGTTGCAGTGCACGTTCTTCACTGATTCCATCCTGGGGCTCTCTTCCGCCATGCAGAATCCTTCCAAGGTGCTCGCGTCTTCGTGTGACTCGGAAGATGAATGGATTTCTCCTCTTTGAAGATGTCGTCAACTCTTCGTTTATTCGGCTGGCAATCCTGTAAGTAGAAGTAACCTTCTTCCGGATTGTGCTCAAGTTGGAAGACGCTACGCTGCACCGAGTTTGATTCCTGAACATTCGTCTCAATTGGTGGTCAGGATCCAGATTGGCCTATCTTGCATGATTGTGCATATTTTGGAATAGCTTCTGGTTTGGCTTCTGTTCGGAGAGGAGAATGCAGGGATCCCATACCTTCCTACAAAATGCTTTTATGAAACAAAATCATTACGGTTCACTGTAATATATTGATTTATACAAGAATATATGGTTCTAACCCTTCTGGGTGTTGAAGGTATTTTCTAAATTCACACCGATCCTTCGCGTGCCTTCATCTGGTTCTTTTAGTTAAGGTATGATCATTGACTGTCCTTCCTAAAACATTCTCTCGGAATGTGTTAGGAAATTCTCGAAGTTCTCTCGGAACCCATGAATTTGATTCTTATCCGTTAACTTTTACTGGCGATGTACATTTACATCTAGGGTGACGGTCAGAATTTTCACCACACAACAGCAGCAGCAGGTCTGCTTTTGCATTGGATAAGTACAACTTTTAAATTCAAGTTTAGATTCTCTTCTTTTCCTGGCCTTCTTTACTCAGTTACCACTATCTTTAATTAAAATAGGTGAAAGCAATGACTGTCTTAGATGTATTTCTTTCTCCCTATAGCACGTAAATCTCATAGTTTCTCTACGTTTGACGTTGTTGGTGGAAAATTCCTATCCACTTAAATTCAGCTATTTTTTATTCTCGAATGAATTTTCATTATGTCATAAGCCCTTCACATCATTGAGTGTAAACTACCATTGACACTTATTCACACGGAGATGACAGTAGACCTATTGTTCCATTGACCCAATGAAGACTTTGAAAAACACATATCGGTCATGTGTGTTTTTCACATGATATCACGCTAGATGTTAAGATAGCTTAATGCCACGCTAATTTCATCTTTGTCCACAATCGAGTCTGCTGTTTTATTGATGTGAAAGCTTATACTCGTAAGAAGGTATAATATTCTTGTCTAACAACCATCTTACTTTTCACTAGAAGCTGCTACAGAAACTTTTGTAATAAATTTATAAGTATATATCACGTTCCTACGTTTGGGAGTTTGTTTTACTCTCTTGATATGTTGAAAATGATGGAATAACAAGTAGTAATTATAGGTCTAGAAATTATTAGGATATAACCGTCCGAACTGATACATGTGCGAACGTTTTTACTCTGTGTATTTGCTACCGAGCTCATCTGTTTTGGGAAAATATGTACCCACGGCTCGGATCTCGTGCTCTCCATGAGCATAATCACATAGATTTCCGCGTCGACAGAAACCTGAAACGAACTTCCGACAGAGCTGAGTTTTGAAAAAAGCGTGTCGAATTCTCCAATCGCACAGCTTACCCGCGAGAGTCTCGTTCTTGATCAGCACGTTTACTCTCCGTATCGCTGCACATAGAACTTTGACTGATCCCTCCATAATCAGATATTTGAGATGTGGAAAAGCTGAGTGATTCTGAATACTAAGCTTTCGCAATCCGGCCTCATTGCAGATGCGCTTTGCATTCACTCCCCTCTTTCCGATGATGGCACCTCCAAAAGCAGCGTAAATAGGAACTTTGATGATGGATGTGGCCTGGACTGTTGTAGCCAGATGAATTGTAGCTGCCTCTGGAAAATTGAAACCATTGAATTCATTCTTAACGCTCTCAGGAAACGGTGCATACATGATCTCGACTCGTGGAAGAGTTCTATGATCCATACCCGGCTGCAACTGTTCCACAAATTGTATGAAGGGCCAAATCAGCACAACTGGATATCATACCTCCGAGGAGGAATGAACTTAGTCAAATGTTGCAGTCAAAAATTTAGTCAAACATCTTCGTGATGGAAAATTATAGACGGCATCTTGAGACAGGATAGTACACTGAGCAGAACAGTTTTTTAATTGAAACACAGAGTTGACATACATTCCAACTCGAGTCTCAAAAACTTCAAGAGAACCTCATGCATGCAGGACATCCAGAGTGGCGTCAGTGACAACCCCTTTCACCTGATTCTGCAGGATCAAGTCCATGAGTACAGCCAGATCATCGTTGCCTTCCCACACTGGTGTTAATTGTTCATCGCTGAGATGTTGAGTCATATTGGACAGCCGCGTGAAACATGGAATTCAGTCTGCAGAGAATGAAGAACGAGAAATGGTCTTCTAGAGATGCGGTTGAACTTGAAATCACAATGCATGCAGGAAGACCCTGTTCTCGCAGATGGGGGGAGTTCGTATATGAAGGAAACTAGTTGACGAGTATTGGTGGTATACTACTGGGGAAGTTCAATCTGAGACGGAACCTATTCATGTGAGTCAGATCTCCTGATAACACTAACATCCAGCGCCATGACTTGAAGTGGCGTTGATGATTTTCTTCTATAAATATGAATGCTCATGTGAATGGATTCTTTATCTGGTTTTAAATGTTCCCTTTTGATATCAAAATCATAATTTGTATATATTTCCAATGAATTTATATTAAAGTAAAACCCTTCAATTCAAGTTCACTCTAGAAGTTATTCTGAATAGCAAATTTAATCAACTCATGCGTAGATACCTGATTGTCTTCAGAAGGATATTTGTTTTAGACGTTGATTGAAAGTTTCTCAATCAAAATTTTACAGCAATCGTTCTACCTTATCTACACTTGCAAATTGTCGATAGAACATTTATTTAACAGACAAAATAAATCTACTTCTATCCCTAATCCTATTTATATATTATCTTTTACTACGACCAAGAAAGGAAACATACATCCGAGATCGCAACTCTACAAAATCACGAAGAATTCAACCTCCGATTCAAGTTCCCGCAATTTGTCCAATAGGTTTTGACTCAAATGACGCATTACAGAATCACACGGACGCACGCAGAGTTAGTGATGACTACATTGACATAGCAAAGGATATATAGAGAGACTTTGAGCAAATAGAAGAGGTATGGAATAAAAGTTCATTCGTCATATTTTCCTCAGACAAGGCTCACAGATGGAAAGTCTTATCATCACCTTAGCTCTTATTCCAGAGAAGTGAAAGACTGTCAATGAACTAAACAAAATTCTCCTCAAGAATGAACAGGTTGCCGAAGACTTGGGCAAAACCTCGGTGAGAGATTTTGATGTTAATACCTCCTCAGCTAAGACTAGGGCTTGGCGGGTCACGCTTTGGAAGAAGAGGGGAGAAACGTACAAGAAACTCACAAAATGCTGTGAAAAAACTCCGAGAATGTTTTGCTTGCGGAAGTACCAATCATTTCAAATTTGACTGCAAGCACAAGAATGCAGAATGCTCCGAGTATTATGAGAAGAGGCACATTCTCACAGTGTGCGGGCGATAACCAACGGAGTATGGCAACAAGTCAAATTGGCTAAAGCATGAACGGAGTGAAGGTGGAGAGCTGCAGAAAATCAAAGCAAATCATTACAAAACGAGCCAAATAAACAATAAATAGTGTATCATGACAATGAAATCATAATTTGCGGTCATGGTAAATTCATGGAATAAAATTTGACAGGAATTAATTTCAAAATATTACGAGTTAATTTAGATTGATCTAAAGTGATATAAAGTTATTAATAACAAATCACTCAAAATCTTGTTTAAATAATTCAAATAAATCAACGAAAAATACTATTTAAGTTTATAAAAAATGGATCAACATCAAGAATTATAAATTGAAAATAAAACATCAATTCAAAAAAATCTAAAAGAAACGTAAAAAAATTCAAAAAAAATTGAAGAACAAATATTTCATTTGCAATAAATAGAAATAAAATTTTAGATTACACTTAAGATATTGAATAGTTAAAATCAATGAAGCTTGGAATAAAAAATTTGGAATTTAAAGAAAGACAAAGGTTAAAATACTACTTTTCATTGAAAACAATAAGGTTTTGACAAGAATGTAGATAAATGAACGATTAGAATGATAATTGAAAAAAATTTCTACTTTACAATAAAAGTGAATGAAATGAGAGACAAATGACTGATTAAATTTTTCTTGAAATTGAGAAAAAAAATTCAGATCGAAATTTTAGTTGAAATTTAAAAATTTTGCTACAATCATGAATAATCAAGAAGTTTACAATTCAGTTTTAGCTTGAATTTGCAAATTCAAGAATAAAAGTACAATGTTTGTGTATATACTGAATGATTTTGAGAGCAAAATAATATTTTTAATCCATCTGAATTCAACATTAACATTTTTCTCACATTATTTTGCATAAAATCTAAGTCTTTTTCTTTTAAAACATTTTTTTGTTAATTTTAGGAGTTTTGAAGTGGCGCAAAGTAAGAGAATTAAGATAACGATTAAAAATTAGAAAATTAATATTGGATTCTTATATATCTTAGTATTCAACATTCATTACATATTGTTTTGAAGCAATTAATACAAGTACGTACTTGTGTGGGATTTTAAATTTTATGAAAAATTCTATTAAATTTTATTTGCTATTTATATCATTGAATTTATATCATTCTATGATATGCTCTCTGATTTGGAAAAAATAATAAATTCAAAAACTAAAAACATCTCTAACGCTTCGCTATTCCAGCGTTTCAACTCTTGAAGCTATTTAAAAACATCATTTTGCTGCTTGAGAACTTTGTGGATGGCACAAACAGCTTCATAACCTTTATGTAGAAATTACCATACCGGAACATAGAATGAAGCCCCTCGAGTCTACCGTTCCAGGGTCTTCACGACTTGATTACAAACTAATCCTAACAATAATCTAAACTAGGAACCCGATGGAACACGTGTTCTCCAAACTTCAGTTCCCTGGACTAACCTCCACAGCAAACACCGAAATTTGAAGTTTTGATCCCCCAGGCCTACAATATAGGTAATATCTTAGTTTGAAAATGACCCGTCGTTTCTTCTAATCTGACGATTCTTTCAGAGACAGCTCTGCTTCTTGGACATCCTCTTGAAAGTGCGTGGCAGTAAATAATCATTCTTCTGCGCGATATTAATTTTTACTGGTGCTTGTTTTCCATGGTTTCTTCCTGTAGTACATATCTTGCTGTTCCTACCGTGTATAGGGATTAGATGATACTTCTATCACCTTGACTACTGGGAGTACATCACGGTTCTGCCCGCCAGATCTTGAAGCGGCCTGTTGTTTGGTTTCTGGAAAGACAAACGAGACAGGGATTATCGATGTATATTACAAAGATTGTAGACAAGTCCTGATTAGGTTTTCAACAGAGGTACTTTGTACAGTCAAGTAAACGAAGGATCTCATACAGAAGAATCTCAACTCACCTTCAGAACGGCCTTGTAGGCTTGAAACTGTCTCGGTGACATCTTCAGATTCTGGACATCACAATGGAGAGCCAAATCAGCATCACAGTGACGATCGTGCAACGAGATTTTAATCAGATTCCAGTCAAGTGTGGCAGAACGTTGTGATAGGTGGAGTAAGCATCTTTCATGCCTAAGCTGTTCTAGCAATATGTTATAAAGTTTCAAGGTTTAAAAAGCTTTTCTTCGTTCATGATTGATGAAAGGAAAATCTTTAATGCCAGGTTGACTGCAGTCTTATGTATGTTTATTCAGGTGGCTACATGTAGTAGAATCATATGCTAACCTGGTTCAGCATGACTGTCCAAGTAACATTCTCAGTGCACGGTGGCGTCGTCAAAGATCCGGTATATCGAGCATATGGGCCATCCAATACAGGTAGTAGTGAAGAGAAGTCGACTGATTTAAAAGTGTGTACTGAAGAATCTGCCTTCTTTATATACGGTAAAGCATCAAATACCTGGATCACGAAAACGATTTTACGAATAATCCAAATGAATTATGCACGTTGCTCTCAAAGCAATTTTATCCTGAATCGTTTGGTTGTAGGCAACTTTATGTGGTTCATTGCAACGACATCATTATAACACTATCATAATGGGTGCAGTATATCTTATAACTTGGCAGATCCTTTAGATTCTCCAAACACAGAATCCATGTGTGCTTACTTCGTGAAATGGCACACAGTTTCAGCCTTGCGACTTTTATCATTTTCATGATCATTATTAAGCTTAAAAATTTGTTGGTAACACTTTATGTAAAACTACAGAAAGCTTAAATCAATGATCACCAACGATTTTTGCAGTTATAAGCATGTGCGTAAAAACCTATATCTAAGAAATGCAAACATATCTAATCACATGAATGCCGGACCTCATGAGAACAATATATGTGGTGATAATCGACTTTTCTGACTGACTAGAATATTATGCAAATACCTGTTGAAGAAAATGATCGGTTGACGAGTCATCAGGGCCTTCATTGTACAGAAGGCCGATAACAGCGAGCTGAGGCCCATTTTGAGTGACGGTTTTATGAACTAGATGTAACTCCAAATCATAACTGCGCATGCACGTTGTCAAGTTTGTATAATTGCATCATCGAATAATCCCTGAATTCCTTCGGAATTAAATCGACACTCATCCAGCAGAGAACGTGTTCTTTGATTAACGAAGTGTACAAAGTAAAAGTCAGGATAGTACCTCATCGAATCAATCTCGTGTTCACTTGGGGAATGGAAGTGAAATCCACTCAGATTGTAAATATCACGAAGATACAGCTTTCCGAATGGTGCATCACCTTCCACCTTTTACCCAAAAAATGTAGTCAGCCTTACGTAAGTACAACCTTAAATACAACTCAACCTATGAACTTAATGAACAAACCTATCGTGTTTTAGAGTTTTTCCGTACGTGTTGTATGATACTTGCGGCAAACATGTAAGGATACGGATTGTATTAAATCGCGCATTGCAAGAAAAGAAATTGCATATCTGAGCACTGAAATGACCGTCTGCTCATGACGTGCTTACTGTCAATTGAAGATGTGAACCGGAGTGGGTGACCGTTGCCTGTGTTTCGCTGTTGTACTCGACATGCAATTTACATAGACCCGGAAACTGATGAGCAGCTGCTTCACGTCTTACAATGTCTATCGGAGATTGGATCTTGCCTGTGTTGCAAGATCCCTCCCATGTTTGTGGTCCTTCCGGACCATCATAGTGAAGTTGCTCTGATAACACCATCGGACTCATCAAATTAAACTCCTTTAACTCTCTTATGCATTAACTTTGGTTCGAAGGAAAGGGAACCCACTTTTGGACGTGTCATTACTCAAAAAACCGAGGCATTATGAAAAACGACAAATTTCACCAATTATCAGAATATCATCGCACTACTGCTGGAGATAGACATTTCATGTGGATTTGAGCATACCTTCGTGATCCGCACTACCACGCACAACTTGTGTCGTGGACAAGAGTAACGGAATGACGAAAATGAGATTAGCTGCCATGCTGTTGTAGACCGTTAATCCTTTCGCAGTCGTCATGAAGCCCGCAACCTGATAGAAAGGATTTGAAGATCAGAGTGCGGATGTAGAGCTGGAGTGAACTCTTCCTTCTTTTCGACGGCCACTTAGAGACTGAACCAGAAACCAGTAGTAGTGTGAGGATCAGTGAGGATCACTATCTGCACTTGACCAAAAGCTGATGGAGAAACATGAGGACCGAGTTTAAGTACTCGACGCAGATGAAGCCTGTGATCAAAGCAAACAGGAACCTCCTTTTTTAAAGATTGGAATTCCAGGGCATATGTGACCACCTGATAATTCGGCATCATTTTATTTCATCTTCGAATCTTTTGGAGTGATACCATATGGCGATTGGTTCTTGTGAGGTGCATGGCATATGCAATAAGTATTTAATAAGCTGTAAAAAACTGAATGAAAAGTAAAGTCCCAAGAAGAATCTTCTGGATCGGTCTTGTTGAACTTGTAAATTTAGCACTAAAGCTGTCACCTTCATCTGTTCAATTTAAAACTCAGGTTACAGAATCAAGGTGTGACCTTGTTGGATGAATATAGGTTTTGGCCGACCGAAACTCCGGAGATATAAAGCCGTACAAACGAGGACAAGGTCAGGTACATCGGGCGCATGCATATTACATTTGGACCTCAACGTTTTCCGCATGGTCATGATCCACAGGAGACACAGACGATGATACTCTTGCAGAGTATGTCTTACCGTTGAAAGTATCTGGCATTTCGAAAAGTACCTTGAACTAGCTCTGTAATGTCTGTGCTATTAGAATTTGTGCCATTAGTTGACTTAGATGCATTCAAGTATTTACATTTCTAGGGTACAAGAAAGTGGCAAAATGATTTGTTATCCATCATCTCTCTCAATACTTTGACCTTGAATGAAGTCTGTCATGTTTTTAGATCTGTCTTAAATGTGTTCTGTTATTAGAGACTCAAGCCATGGGTTCCGCCCTGGGAGAAGCTGTCATAAAGCCCTCGTGAACGGCACTGACTAATTACCTGCTGTCAATTGGAAATTTTGTGGTATTTTTGTTTATTACGATGATATGATGGGTCAGTAATTTGCTTCATTTGTTGAAACGGTGGCTGCTGCAGAATCCACTATGGGGTTGGCCATTCTAGTTATTAAACTTTCAAATTCACGGTACTATTGCAGAAGAATGTAGGGCGCTCGCGTCGCTTACGGTCATTGTCTGGCGCGCGGCTTCGACTGCGCTTCTTAGGACATAGTAAAGCTTGTCCTGATAAAGCCTTAACCTCTATCGATAATATACATTGACCTTTGTTTGCTGAGGTGTAAAGCTGCACAGCTTCCTTATACAGTAATGGAATGGTAGAATTTAGCAGTGTTTTCCATACCATATATCTTATCAAAACTAAGATTTAAGATGTGGAAATCAGGATAATTTTCTTCAATAATGATAGGAAAGGATAAGGACTGAAAGGTCACTCATGACTTCTGGTTCGATGGAACCTAGCTTGCCCCTGAGAATTTTGTAAATACATAGAACTAATCGATACAAAATAAAGATCTAATACAAAATAGTATAATTTATACATCAAGAAATGTTTCAATTGAAATGAAAAAAATCAAGCTCTGTAATATATATTAAAAATTCAGTAATTGAAATTAATAACAGGTGAAATAAGATATGTAAAATTACAAGACAAACAAGGCTAAAAATTGAGGTCATAAGAAAAATAATGTCAAGAATTTTTCTTACAATCAGGAAAAATCAAAACACCTATTAGAAATTATCTATTTTCTAGTTAAATTTTTGATTGTAACAGATTTATATAAAGTTTAAAATCTCATGATTACAATTTGCATGTGAGAATTTACGGGAAAATTAAAATTTATATGTTTGATCTGAATGATTTTGAGAGCAACATAATATTTTGATAAATACACATATTTTAGAAATTTATTTTATCTATCTGCTATCAAGATTAAATTTTTGATCACATAATTTTGCATAGGATTAAATTTCTATTCTTTTGAAGCATATTTTGCTGAAATGGGGACTTTAACCCGGGCACAAATTTGAGATACTAGAACATATTTAAGTTTAAGAGAATTCAAACTATTTTTTTCCCTCTAAATTTAGAAAATATCTTTTTGAGTTAAATTTTTATACATAGATATATTTAGGTGAATGCAAAATTGATTGAAATAATTATTTCATATTTTTGATAGATTTTTATAAGACTATATCATTCTTTGACATGCTCTCTGATTTGGAAAAATTATTAAATTGAAAAAAAATAAAGTCCTTCGCGCTTTCTTGAGGTAACTTCTTTGCTAATCCACCGTTTTAAGTCCTGAAGCAATATAAACAAGTCAATTTGCCACTTCAGAACTTTGTGAATGGCGCAGAACTTTACACCCTTAGTGTAGAGGATATCATTAAGGAACATACAATGAAGCCCCTCAAGTATACCGTTCCAGGGTCTTCACACCTTGATAAGAAACTAATACTAACAATCGATCTTAACTAGGAACCCCATAAAACACGTGTTCTTCAAACTTCAGTTCCCTGGACTAACCTCCATCGCAAGCCATGTAATTTGAAGTTTTGATCCCCTTCAAACAATAAAAGGAACTATGTTAGTTTGAAAAGTACCCGTCGTTTCTTCTAATCTGCCGATTCTTTCAAAGACAGCTCTGGTTCTTGGAAATCCTCTTAAAAGTGCGCAGCAGTAATTTTCATTCTTCTGCACGATATTGATTTTTACAGGTGGGTGTTTTACATGGTTTCTTGCTGTAGTACATATCTTGCTGTTCCTTCCGTGTACATACAACAAGCTGAAAACAGTTCATTCGACTGAATACTTTATGCTGTCGGTTGCTGCTTGCGAAAAAGATTGGCTTTGCTGTCGATGAATCGCAATTTTTATTAGCAAGTATGTCCTCTTAGAAGAATTTCTTTGTCAGTATCCACATTCTAGAGCGTAAAAACCAACTTGGCGCTATTTTTCAAGAAATTATACACACTGTGGCGAGCATAAGACGGAGCTGACCAAGCTAGGACACTCAATCTTCTTGCCCTCAGAGTGGACTTACGACAATGTATCATTTCTACACAATGTTCTCCCTTTTCCTTAATTCTGACCTATGTAAGAATGGAAAATTGCTTCATATCGATATCGACAAACGCGCGTGATCATGTATCAAGTCAAGCTGATACTTGTATCACCTTGACTACTGGGAGAACACCACGGTTCTTCCCGCCAGATCTTGAAGCGGCCTGTTGTTTGGATCCTGGAACGACAAACGAGACAGGGATTGTCGATGAATATTACAAAGATTGTAGACATGTCCTAATTAACGTTTCAACAGAGGTACTGGGTACAGTCAAGTAAACGAAGGATCTGGTCAGAGAAATCTCAACTCACCTTCAGAACGGCCTTGTAGGCTTGAAACTGTCTCGGTGACATCTTCAGATTCTGGACATCACAATGGAGACCCAAATCAGCATCACAGTGACGATCATGTAACGTGATTTTGATCAGATTCCAGTCAAGTGTGGCAGAACGTATTGGTAGGTGGAGTAAGCATCTTCCATGCCTAAGCTCTTCCAGGAATATGCTATAAAGTTTCAAGCTTTAAAAAGCTCTTCGTCGCTCATTATTCATGAAAGGAAAATCTTTTATGCCAGGCTGAATGCAGTCTTCTGTATGTTTATTTAGGTGGCTACATATAGTTGAATCAAAAGCTGACCTGGTTCAGCATGACTGTCCAAGTAACATTCTCAGTGCACGGTGGCGTCGTCAGAGATCCGGAATATCGAGCATATGGGCCATCCAATACCGGTAGTAGTGAAGAGAAGTCGACTGGTTTCAACGTGTGTACTGAAGAATCTGGCTTCTTTATATATGGTAAAGCATCAAATACCTGGATCACGAAAAAGATTTTACTAGTGCCCCAAAGATTTTACACGTTGCTCTGAAAGGAATATAATCCTGAATTGTTTGGTCACAGGCAACGATTTTTGCAGTATAAGCATGTGCGTAAAAAACTATATCTAATAAATGCAAACATATTTAATCCCATGAATGCCGGACCTCATGAGAACAATGTATGTGGTAATAATCGACTTTCCTGACTGACTCGGATATTGTGCAATTACCTGTTGAAGAAAATGATCGGTTGACGAGTCATCAGGG